AGAAAAAAGCCGGAAGTGGTGCTGTGGCTCAAGTGGTAGAGTGCTAGCCTTGGGCTGAAGAGCTGAGGGACAGCGCCCAGGCCCAGAATTCAGGCCCCCCAACTGACAAAAAATAATTAAGAGGTACTACAGGTGCCTAGCTACTTGAGAAGTGGAGATCAGGAAGTATCATTTTTATTTCCAGTAAGAAGGATGATCAAGAATAAAATGATAAAGTTTGAGGGAGAGAGCTAGGTGGTAGAAATCAAAGGCATTAAGCCACTATGTATGAAATCTCAGACAAGGAGATGCAGTTGAACACAAGCTGAAGCAAAAAGTTTACAAGACTCCATCTCAACAGGTGTGGTGCCACACATCTGTCATTTCAGTTCTGGTAGGAAGTATAAATAGAAGGATTGTGGTCCAGGCCAGCCTGAACAAAAGAAAGAGACCCTATCTCAAATAGAACCAGATCACAAAGGGCTAGAGGCAGGGCTCTAGCAGTAGAGTGCCCTTCCTAGCAATTCTGAGGCCCTGAGTTCCTACCTTGGTACTACAAAAGAATCGAGATGACATTTTTGTCTACAACAGGAACTTAATCAAGGCGATCAGGAAAACCTGATGAAGGATGAAGGGAAGAACTGTATGGTAGAAACACAAGGACATTAAGCCATTGTGTATGAGATCTCAGGCAGGTTGATTCACAGGTAGGAGCTGAGTTTTTCCAGTTGTCAAATGTGGACATTGACTCACATTAATGTTTCTCACACTGGCTTCCCATTAGCATCAGTTGGGGAGTTTCTGCAAATTTCCTTCCTCATGCCATAGCTCAAACATTAGAATCTCTGAAGAGGGAGCCCAGGCTTCAGCAGTTACAAAGCTTCCCAGGGGATCCCAGAGTGCATCTAGCTGAACTTGCCAACTGTTGGCCCATGGGACCTCCACTACCTTCATTGTGGTCCTTAGACAAGCAGCATGAGCTCACGAGAGAGTTTTAGTAATCAAGATTAGGACCTTATCCTTATCCTGGTCAAGACCTGTAAACAGAATCTACATTTTAACAAGATCCCTAGGTCAGCTGTGATGACATCCAAATTGGAAAACTCTGGCCTAGACGCTCTACCACTAGCCAGCTTCCTTCTGATGCTGTTTCAATAATGTTTGAATGTGCCAGCCATATCATGTTACAGAAGTTGTGTGTGTGTGTGTGGATTGCATGGCCATGCTCAGAAAACACAACAAGCTCCCATCGCACCTGTTTCACACGGGAGGCTGAGTAGAAACTGATAGGGGAAGAAAAATGTCTGTATAAGGTACAGACAATTTTACGAGATTCTGATCAAAGATTGCTTTTCCTTTGTAGAATGAAGTAGATGCCCCTAAAGAGCAGTTGCCAAGTTCCTCTTCAAAGGCAGCAGCGCCAGTGTGGTTATTAAAACCACCTGCCTCCAGGTGACAATTTGTATCTGCCATCTCACCTGGCAACACATCATTTCCACATTCTTCTCTGTTCCTCGTCTCAGTTGACAGCTTCTTTGTCCACAGCTCCCCCAAGGAATAATAGGCAGGTTGGCCAAAGAGTGTCTGACCTTCCCCAAAGTGACTGGTTATATATAGTGTTTATCACCTCCATAAACCTGAAAAACAAAAACAAACAGTGGCAAAATGCTGGAACTGAAACTACAAACCAACGAATAAATATCGATGCAAGATTCTACTCCAGAATAAGAAGGCAGCCTGGTGCCAGGGGATCATACCTGTGAGCCTACTTAGGAGGTTGAGCTCTGAGGATAGTTGTTTGAAACCAGCAGAGACAGGAAACTCCGTGAGATCCTTAGCACCAAGTGACTACCAAAATGCTCAAGTGGCAGAGTGCCAGAATTGAGCAAAAATGCTAAGGGACAGACAGTGTCCAGGCCCTGAGTTTGAACCACAGTAATGACACACACACATAAAATCTTCCCCATTATGTCTCACATTTCACTGGCCAAAATGAAAGCATAAGACCATAAAACTAAGAATCAGCTATCACATTTACAATCAAGACCAATTGTGTTTCTCTACGTTCCTTCGTCTTATTGCTAGCCCCCAGTCACAGGTGTGTTAGGGCGCTACCAGTGTGTAAGATTGGATCATCAGTAGCTTGGCAGCAGCTGCTAGTCTTAACTCAGCTCATCCATGGTTGAGCAAGTTGGCGAGTATCCACTAGGTTTTACTGAGCAGCCCGGCTTCAAGCCCAAGCTCTGCGGGTAAGATGGACCAGGTAGCTTGGTTCCAGCGATTCTTCATGTTCTCTGGGCCACTAATCTAAGTAGCACAAGGTCTTCTCATAGCCAGGATAAAAAAAATAAAAATAAAAAAGCTCAGGTGTCTTAAGGCCTGGGCTTGGAACTAGCACGGTTTAACTTCACCCTCATACTACCAGCCAAAGCAAATCCCCTGGTCAAGTCCAAAGCCATGTTGTGGGACCATAGAATCTGCCCCACCAAGAAGCATCCCAGAGAGGATGGATGCTGGGAGAGGAAGAACAAATCACAACCGAGAATATCAAGACCCCAAAGATGTTAGCCTGATCAGTATGCCCCGTTTCTGCCAATGCTGACCCTCTATTACAATATCATCTGCGGATCCCATGGAAGTGAGCTGTTGTCAACAACCATGAGAGCTCACTCAGCAAAGGACAAAATTGTGCCAGACTTGACCTTTCACCTCTAGCATCCCATGCTTTGTAGTTGCCGAAAGAAACCTTGACCAAGTAGGGACACTTGAATGCCAGGGAAAGATGATCTCGTGTCATTAGGAACCGAACCCTTGGCTTTTCCACTAAGCCCTGGCGCTCAAGCAAGTACCACCGCAGCATGTCTCCTATCTGAACACCGTGGCAATGAAGCCTGACCCCCGACGAGCGTGAAGCCAGATGAGGAGGCTGGAGACGTTTCTGAGTGCACCGAGAGTGCCGAGGACTCACGGGTCGTGCTGGCTGGAGGCGGGTCCCGGCCAGATGTTGCACCGCCGCCCCGCCCTCCCTCGCTCACCCGGGCCCCCTTCGTGCGCACCAGAGCCGCGGCGGCGCGCTTCGCCAGGGCACCCCCTCCCTCGGGTCAATCGCAGCCGCGAGCGCCCCTCAAAAGCGGTCGCAACCGCGGAGGGCTGAGGAGAGAGGAGGCGACGTCCCTCTGGGTCCCGGATCCCCGCAGGCGCCGGCGCAGCAGGCAGGAGAGAGGCTTGGCTAGAAGAACATGCCTCCGCCCTGGGGCCTCATGCTCCCGCTACTGCTCCCCTGGGTGGCAGGTGGATTCGGGATTGCGGCCAGGTGAGTATGGAGCTGGTCCCTTGCCCCTCAGGCTTCAACTCTCCCTTCCGAGGCTCTTCGATTTGACCCTTGGCCCACCAGGTAATCGCGCGTGCAGGGCTGAGCGCTTGGGTGCCTGAGCGTGCTGAGACTCGATTCCACAGCGATGCCAGGCTTTGGGGGCGCCCACGCGCTCCCCTCTCGGTGCCCCTTGGGCCTGGGCTTTGCAAAGCAACTAATTGCCTCCGTATCAGCTGACTGCACCTGGCGCTCAGGTGTGTGTGTGTGTGTGTGTGTGTGTGTGTGTGTGTGTGTGTGTGTGTTGTGCATGCAGCTGAGGGGTCTGTAAGGACTCAGTGCTCTGTGGGTGTCTGTTGTGGGGACCCCTCCCCGCGTGTGTGATGGTCCCCCGGGGGAAGGGGGCGGGAGAGTGTGAAGTTTGGTGTTTTCCGTTGTATCCAGAGGGCGCCAACTGGTTGTGGGTCGCTGGTTGTGTTGGGAAAGGACAAGAAACTGGGGATGGTACAACGAATGGTTTCATTGTTGTTGAGTTGAGCCAAGGAAAAGCTAGGCTGCTTTCCTCCCTTGGCTCCTCATTAAGGTTCATCAACTGAAATAAAAGGACGTGGTTGTCAGGTGAGAGGATTTTCACCCTCGTTATGCCGCTTCCTTATGGACTCATAGCTCTTCTGAGCCCCGAAACATTTTTATCTACTCCCGCCCCTCGCCCCTCCCCCCACCCCATCTGCAAAGCCACTTAGTAAGCACACATAGTGCTTCCTGCAGATCAGGAATGTGGCAGGACTATTAACCCACCCAAAACGAACCAAGCTGTGGGGGGCCGGGGGGGCTGTTGTTATCATCCCTGTGTTGTAGAGGCAGAAAATGAAGCACAGACAGGTCAAGTGACTTGCCCAAAGAGGCATAGCAAATACGCAATGGAGCCAAGGATGCAAGATAGTGTGGCCGACTGGCACTCCTCTCCACCAACGCAGTTGGCAAACTTTTGGGGAAGAGCCACTAGAAAGGGTCTCTTGGTCTTGTGGGTGTGATGTCCGGCTACCTCCTTGGGTGTGCTACAGTGCTGTTTCTCACTGAGGTGCCTTTGACCTTTAGTGTTTGGCTACATCATTGTATGGGGGGAGAGGAGGGACTGTCTTATGAACCATGGGATGTTCTGCAATATCCCCAGCATCTACCCACTATATGCCAGTAACCACTCTGACAGTATCGCCCATCCCCCAGGCAAGTTGTGACAATGTAAAAAGTTCTCCGGATATTGCCCTAAATTCCCTGGGGAGTAAAATCACTCACAGCTGAGTGAGATTTTTTTTTTTTTTAGTTCTGATTTCTAGGGAGATGAGGATAAAAGCCTGGGTTTGGTTCAGACTTCTTAATGGTGGTCCTGATTGACTTTATTTAACTTAAAGGAAAAGAAATCTTTCATCAAAGTTGGCTATGGTATTAAGGGATTTTGAAATTCAAACAGAGCTAACCTCAAACCAGGTTCTTACAGCGTGTGATCGTGAGGTTTAATTTCTTTCCCATGATAAAAAATGTAAGCAGATGCAATGTGCTCATAATCACATTTTCCTTGAACATTGGAGGGTCTTGTCTTGCTAGAAAGCCCATTTGAGAAATACTAAGGGTGATGTGGAGGTGAGACTAATAGTTATTTAGTGGCAGGCAAACTGTGACCTCCAGGAGCTCCATTTTCAAAGTGCCACCAAACTAAAAGCTGAAAAGCCCTCCTGAGGAACTAAGGAAAAATCAATGTCCGGATTCTGCCATTCTGCACTTTTCAAGATGTGAAATGTGGTTTCTTTATACACTGTCAGGTTAGTGAGCTTGTATGTTTATTATCTGCTGCACGTGCTTGGAAATGTCAAGTGGTCAGCTCTTCGAGAACTGCGCAGGAATGATGTTTAATTAACTCCAGTTTCCACCTTAATTTACATAGAAGATAGAGCACTCACTGCAAAAGAAAAAAAGAGAAGAAAAATGTCCACTAGTTATTTTCTATTTATAGGAAAACCTATGGCTGGGACATAGCTTTAGTATATGCATTAAATGTTTTGCAGTGAAATGCTGTACCATGATTTTGTGACCTAGGAAATGGTACAGCACTTAAATTGTACTTGTTGTATAAGGGACAATTAACATTCACCAATGAATCATTCATTAGCTGTATGCATGCACCTGCTCTCATGCATCAGATTTGATTTGCCTTATACCTTTTTACACCCTCTGTTTTATGACCTTTGAATATTTATAGGACCTAGATCTTCAGTGTCCACTCTAGCAAATGGTGGTTGTTGAGTGCATGTGAAGTGGCTAACCTAAGTCAAATGTACTATACATGTAAAATACACATTGGAATTTCAAGACTTAGCATGCAAACAGCAGGATAAGTCCACCTAATTATTTTATATTGATTGCATGTTGAGACAGTAGCAGTGTATATATACAGCAGTGGACAAAATGTTATCAAAATTGGTTTCATTTATTCTTAGTTTATTTTTGCCTCCTACATGTTGTAGTCCCCCCTATGTGCCACACACACCCTCAACCCTTTTTTGCCTTAGTCATTTTTCAGATGGGGGCTCATATTTTTTCATGAGACTCTCTGTGGGCCTGAAATTCTTCTATCTATCCTTCATGTGTAGCTAAGATTACAGATGCTAACCAGCTTGTTAGTTCAGATATTATCTACTTTTTGCCAGGTTGATCTTGAACCATGATCCTTCTGTTCTTCACTTCCCAAATATCTGAGATTGCAAATATTTCCCATCATGCCTGGCCCTTCATTTCTTTCACAGTTAAAAATATGTGGCTACTAGAAAATTTTGCATGCCATATGTGGCTATTAATTGCTAATGGACAGCGTGGATATAGAACATTGGTCTGAGCTCTATTTCTAGTACTCCAAGAGACCTAACTGTGATCTTTTTTGCCTTGGGAACAAAGAATAAGTAGGCTCTCTCAACTTTTCTATTCTTGAGATTAAAGTTTGTAGCTAACTCTTACAACATTTCCATCACACATTTTTTTCTCTGTTGTTCTAATGAAAATAATGTGAGACATGAGGGAAAGTCTGGGTTCATACAGAGAGATTTCTTTACTTCAGACCATATATTTTTCTTTTAAAAAATTATTGTAAGAATGATGTACAGAGAGGTTACAGTTACATAAGTCAGGTAATGAGTACATTTCTTTTTGAACAGTGTTTCCCACTCCTTCATTTTCTCTCTGTTTTTCCCCTCCCAACCCCTGTCTCCCCCAAGTTGTAGAGTTCATTTCCAATATAATGTCTAGTGAGTATTACTGCTGAATTGGTTCATCCTTCGTTCCAGCATTTCTGTGTTTCCCCTTCCCCTCCCTAAATCAGTTAAACGTATATACAAGACAGAGGGTACAGAAATAAAAAAAAACAGCAACAAAAGGGAATAAACCAAAGGGGGAAAGAACTGTAAACAGTATAATTTTTAAAACCTCCTGTTTTCATTTCTTGGACTTCATTTAAATAAGACGATATATTATGTGAAGAAATGATTCTCCTCAAAGCCATAGTAAGGAAGTGTCATAATAACAATTCACCACAAACTTCACAAACTTCATGACCTAATCAGATACAAATTTATCATCTGATAATTCTGGAAGTTTAAACTCCAAGTTTAAGTGAGGTGAGTAAGGTCTTAGGTCCTTCTGGAGGCTCAGTGTGTGTGTGGGGGGGGGTCCCATTCCTTGTTTCTTCCAGCTTCCAGCTAACCTTAGCTTGTGGCCACATCACTCAGATCTCGTCTTTCTTTACTTTCCTTTCTCTCTGATTCTTCTAGGTTTTCCTCCTTCTGATTATATCCAGGATAGTCTCATCTTACAATGCTTAACTTGATCAACATCTCCAAAACCCTTCACATGTAAAGTAACATTACCAGATCTCAGGGATCTGGATTTGGCCATCTTTAGGTTAGAGGAGATATTATTAAACCTTCCATAGGATAGGAAAATTGAGTTTTAAGTCTGTTGTTCTTATTTTTAAGGGCTGGATTTCATTTTATATATAATTTTACTGTTTTTGACTTGTCATATCATTCATCTATTTATGCTTAAAATCAGATTTGTAGGGTTATACCCAAAAGTCTAGTGTTTCTGCGAAATAGCAATCATGGAACATGTAACTATAACATAGAAGTCACTCTGAGTGACCCCATTTCCATAGTTCATTTCATTAGCTTAGATAGTAACAAAGTCTCATTTATATTTGATTTATATCCATAAGTAATGGTGACATAAACATTAAAATGTGAGCATACTGTCTAGTCTTCACAAACCATATTCACATTCAACAGCTACTGAGACCCTACCCTGTGAGAATCCTTTCATTTCTTTATTTCTTGTGGTTCTGGGGTTTAAATTGAAGACCTCTTGCTTTCTGGGTATGTCCTGTACCATTTGAGCCATTACCCAGCCCTACAGAAAGCCCTTTTCAACATTATTTCAACCAGTTCTCTCAACAATCCTAAGAAATTGGTGTTATGTCGGAAGTGGTGCTGTGGCTCAAGTGGTAGAGCATTAGCCTTGAGCTGAAGAGCTGAGGGACAGTGCCCAGGCACAGAGTTCAAGCCCCACACCCGACAAAAAAAAGAAATTGGTATTATGTCCATTTGATGAAGGAACAGCAAACCTTGAAGAAAGTAAGCAACTTCTTATGAATTGCACTGACTTGGTCTTGGGTTCTAAGTCTAGTGATGTTCCAATTTTCCAAGTTAATTTCCTCAGGAAATTTAATGCAGGAAAACCTGATATTTTTAATGAAGTATCTGTTCACACATTGTCACTAATAATCCTGTTCAGCTTCACTAATCTAGTGCAATCAAGGAAATAGTTTAGAACAAGTGTTCCTCCTCTAAACACCACGATCTTCCCTCTGTAAGTTTGCATTTTCTCAGAAGCAAACTCCAGACTCTACCTATGATTTTGACAGGTAACTTTCAGGTTGGACATTGACATAACTCTCTTTG